CTTAACATTCTTTAAGCGCTTTCGTTTGACGAAAGATACAGTTCTGCAGTTGTTAGAATTAATCGAAATGGATCTCGAATATAATAACAATTTGTATGAAGCTACTACCTAATTACCCATTTGTTATCCTAAACTATACTTTTAGAAACAATAATGTAGCACCTATTGATCAGTTGTTAGCAGCGCTTAGGTTTTATGCAAGTGCGGGACATTTAAGTACAGTGGCTGATTTTATCGGCATGGATATCTCCACAGCATCACGGTTAGTTGCAAAGGTTACGCATGCTATTGGTAGACTGTATCAACAGTTTGTTAAAATGCCAGGTCCAAATGAATTAATTCAAGCGTAGAGAGAATTTTATCGTTTATCATCTTTTCCCAGAGTTATTGGTTGTGTTGATGGTACGCATGTCAAAATACAATCACCAGGTACTTAAGTAGTTTCGCATAATACCTGATGAGGTCAATATACATTTTCCAGGTGGAGAAGGTCCGGAGGTTTTTAGAAACCGAAAGGGATATTTCTCTATAAATGTTCAGGGTACTTGTGATACAAATCTGAAAAATCACAAATATTGGCAATCATTAACTTTTCATCCACACTAAACATTGGGCATCGATTTCTTATTTTGGTCGGAGCTTCCATTATTAACCAAATTTACTAAATTTAACAAAGTTGATGATTTTAAGCTCAAATATAAACTTTAAGATTAACAAACAGTCAGTAAACACATGTGACAGTAGATATTTTACAGTGTTGCCTAGCAGATTCTCCGATTACCTAAACAGCTTTATGTTTTTGTCGGTGCAAGTGGTTACAAATTAAACATTGATTAAAATTAAAACAGTGATTAGTTAAACAACGTTTATTGCAGAAACGGTGCAAACGGCCATATATCTATCTGTATGTACGTGTGCGTTTACAATGAACGTATACAAAAATTTCATAAACCGTAACTCGTACATATCTGTATCGATTCCGTAAATTTACTTCGCTGTTTGCAATAAACCAAAGATCATATTACAAGTAGTATGATATTTGACCGTACGTAACTTTGAAACATTTTCAACCTTTGCGACTATGCGCAAGACTTACATATCGCTTACATATACGTACGTAAAAATTACGTTCATTGTAAACTTAACACCTTCGTATGTTTCTATACAGTTCAACTTTGCGAAATTTTTACGTTTTATGTATCTCTTACGTATACGTAGGTACATTGTAAACGCACACTTAATGTCTGTGTACAGTTCATACACGTTATTGTTCTGGTTACGGCTGGTAAAAGTTATAGCGAGGGCGGTAGAATAGTCCTGACATAACTTAAATAACCGATTTTTTGGTTTTTCTAAAAGTAGGTACTCTACAATTTAAGAAAAAAATTAAGGCTGTACCAACGTAACTATCAACACGGAGATATAGTGGTTGTAATTTGATAACCAATTGTAAATAAAGTTATGCAAAGTCTAGAAATAAATTAATTTAAGAGAATTTCTTCATTCTTTTAAATGTGAACTTTGTGCTTTCCGTAATTTTTATTGCGCATGCGGGAGCTGTGGTTATGAACCCGATCTTGGCGGGCTAACGCCAACTTCAAATCACACCGGAATATTTGACCATATTCTGTAGTAGAGGGAATGCCTAAACTAACATGGCTGCCTATTTGAATATTCTCGCTTAAGTTTCCCGCGAGAATCTGTCACTCGGGGGCCACTCCGAGTGCACTAAGATCGTGATCGTCATGTAGGACACCTACGTTGTGTAATAACTGGGTTCTCAGCAGGCACTGAGGGTGTTTTATGGATAAGGAACACCAAAAGTAAAAATAAATAGCTAATACCAATACGATTACAGAGTGACCCGCATAATGGTTTTTAGCGGCGCCCCTGCAGAGGGTATTAGGTGGTTCTATACTACTCCGGCATTTACCTTACGAATTGGAAAACTACAGGAAAACCTAATTCGGAGTAGTCCTATAATAAACATCTAATGTACAGCACTTTTGAGCCCCCTCGAAACCGGGGTAAATACTACAAACACGCTATGAGTAACCAAAATGGAATCGAGACATTCTCCAGGTATTACAACACATACATCAGGCAAAACTAAGAAGTGTTAAATATACCTCGACGGCCGGGAGGATTACCCAGGCCCTGTAGACATGGGCTAAAGTTGTTGGGTTCGGAACGAGTGAAAATGTTAGTGTTAGGTTCACCAAGGCCCGTATAAACTTGAATAACTCGATCCCCTCTAAACAAGCACACTTCCCTCTTGATTACTCCAGTCCCAAATAAGCAAATATAATGAAATGCAATGAAATAATCAAGAGTGACTAAAAAGCACAATACGCAAATATGTACACATGCAAGTATGTACAGCACAGATACAGCCCTACCGACAATGAAACATGACTGCCAATACCAACAAAGGTTACACATTAAGAGGTACAAGTGATTGAATCCAGTAAGTACATAAGTAAAGAGTTACAATCTACATTCAAGTTATGCACATTTATAGATTAATTGAATAAAGCAAATACCTCACCTGATACAAAAAAGCAAAAGGACACAGTTAAGGTATAACAAAATATTTCAAGACAAGCCGTACTTTACACTTCAGCCGGTTACAAGACAAAGACCATGAACACACATGTCAAATCCTATTTATTGAACAACCCAAGCCATTCGGTAATTTGATCTGCTAATACCCCTAAAAACCTCCCGAAAAAAAATTCTCAAAAGAAGGATTTGCGTAAATCGCAACATTCCTACACTCAAAATGTGCGATTCTCCCATAAGCTCAATAATAAATTTGGGAAAAATGGCGGAAATGAGCATATGGCCACACTGTCTTTATAGAGTCACTGTAATATGGGCACCGACAGCATAATACCTATTGGGCATTTACGAAAACTGGAGCGGTAGATCCACGATGGAAAATGTCGGTAAACATTTGATGATGACTGATGAGATGCGGTAACTTTGGTGCATGCCTGTTTATAGAACAATGCTTTTGTCATGTGTAAATGTAGCGCATAAATTTATAAACATATAGAGTAGGAAACAAAGATAGTTCCACAAACAGAACACCCTTCCCCATGTCAAAGGGTGCTGATAAATTATTAAACACAATGGAATAAGTTTCAATCTATAAAATGAACTAAAAATGCCGAAAATTACGATTTTTAGAAATAAACAGATATAGTTTCATCTGTCAAATCGCTACAGCGTTGCCGTCGTGACACACTAATTATCTTAAATTTTCTTATTAGGCCGTTTAATTTCAACTTATAATAGTTTGTTTTTCACCACCTTTATAAATATTTAAAAATCCATTTAGATCCTTTCTATATATCTATTATTAATATTAATTAAAAAATGGTTTCGCGAAATGTGACAAGTTCGCTTCCTGCAATATTTACAAACACGACGAGATTATGGCGCGTTTTGATAAGCATCAAGGCATCGCTATCTTTATTTCTTACTCTGAGATAAACAGCATATACCTACAAGGCTACATTAGCATATACTTTTACTACCATGAAAGTGTTTCGTAAGATCTAAGGTTTCGAATATAACAAAAAATGTACACAACGGAAGTCCTCTTGATAATTATTGAAGGAAAGCCAAAAAGATTGCAAAGTGAGGTTACAACTCTTGCACCTTTTTTTAGTGGCGCCGCGCGTGGACCAACCAGATGAATACACTCCAATTAGTGATCCATTTCGTTAATGTGATCGGTACATATGGTAATAAAAGAACACTGTAAAATAATTACCTATCACATTTTCGAACGCTACGGTATATATACCGGGATCTACAGCTCCAATTTTTGTAAATGCCTCATAAATATATTACACCAATAGGCCTTCTAACCACCTCCATAACAGTGGCTACTAAGCCGTGGACTTGAATTTGGTTGGAAGTGGCTGACATATAGAAATTACCGTTAACAGGTACAATACACAGGACCACAAAAACTTATAACCAAAACGAAAAATTATGAAATGAATAAATTAGTAATCGTGGTTTAATATACTATTTAATCTGAAGACTTCGCCGAAAATAAATTACCAAACCTGTCGGCTGTCATGTGATTTAAGCTGAATTTATAGTTCCGTACCCGCAACACCGTACCGTAACGTTTGGAATTAAACCCTACTTGTTGCGCGTGAACATTTATAGTTCCCGTTTACGTTGCGTTAGAACGGTTACGGTACGTAGGAAATGCCCAAATCTTATTCCTTACGGTAAATCGCGCTAACGCGCCTGTCTTCGATAGTACTCGGATAATTCAAACAGTTGAGTTTATCCGGACGTTCGTTTCGTTTATTTACAGTAATTATTGACACTTTGTTGGTTATTATTATTTTGAAATGCACGTTACTCTTACTGACAGATGACATACAATGGCAGATAAATACGCAAGCTCATCTCTTACCACTACGGTAACTATAAATCGCATAATTTTCGTTAACGTCAGATTTTACGGTTCCGTTCTTACGGCTACGGAACTATAAAGCCGGATCCGGCTTTAATGTGAATAACTGCAACAATTACACAAAATCGGCTTCATAACCACAGCTCCCGCATGAGCAAAACAGATGACCAAAATCACAACGTTCACATTTAAAAGAATGACCAAAATACCCTTAATCATTAAGTTCTCGAATTTTAGGGCACTTCCAGAAAAACCGCGAGCAGGGTGTTAAAGAGGAACATCCCTTCTATCGCCCCTATAGGGGATTTTCTTCTAACCTCTCTGTAACTTCTTTAATGCGATGTCAAAGTTAGGTGTTCTATTTAGAAATGTGCTAGGTCAAAAAAATTAATTTCTCAAATTCTGGAGCACTTCTAGAAAAACTTTAACAGGGGTTTTTAAGAGGAACTACGCTTCTATCATCCCTGCGAGGACTTCTCTTTCAATCTGCCTTTTGGTATGTAGGGAAGTTACATTTCTCGATGTGTGGTTCACTTTTGAAATAAACGCTTCCAGATGACGAATAGGATAATCGTTTAATTATCAGGATACAAATTTTGTTGACAATATTTGTGTAACTTTGTTAGCGAATGACACGTCTTCGTTTACATACTACGGTGCACCCATCAAACAGAACGAGATACGTGTCTAACAATGTCTCACGTGCTCGTGTTTCTACACAGGTACATGTATTAGCATCTTGTAAATATACAAATCTCTCATTCAATGGAGATTACATATTTAACTAATCGTGTTAGTAGATATATCACGATTGAACTCGACATAATTTCCATTACGAAGGAGCATCAACTTGTCGATGTGCTTGTTCCTTACAAGAGTCGTAGAACATGAGCTTCGTTCCATTAACACGGTTTATCTCTGGACTCTTTATCCATTATTAATTCCCACGAACCTGTAACTGTTGACTCAATTTGCATTACAGGTAAGAATAAGTGAAATTTGAGATTACCTATTTTTATAGCGACAGCGTACACCTCCAATTTATTGTTAAGGGGACCCGGCGCCTCTTGCACATCTTTCGATTTCCATCGGCCTTTTTCTTGCTTTATATTAAACAATATTGCGCAGCAGGTGCAAATCCTACATTCATTGTTTACTGTTATCATAAAAGGAATCGTAAAATTGGACTTACCGAATATGTACGTAAAAACTGTAAAGGTCACGTGTGACCGACGTAAATAACCCAATAAATCGCTTGCCTTCTCAAAATTGATGAACGTATAAATAATCCATTTATACGTTCGATGTAAGTAACAATCAATAACAGCTGTTTTGTTTTTGCGCAACCGCAAATAAAACGTACCTACGACCTACGGCTACTTTCCTTCTCTAACGTAACTGCGCATTTGCATGCAGAGTAGTTTTCATTCGTACCATTTCCATTTGATACATTAAATTTGTGTCTTATTCTTATGCGTTACATTTTATGCAGACCGAATTTCCATTGTATGTATAAGCACATTTAAAATGCAATGTATTTTAATGCGGTGTATCGCATAGAAATGATTCACAAAATAATTCGACGTTCATTTTAATTAAAAGATGCACTATTAAATACATTGGAATTCAATGCTACATCTTAAACTTCGATTTAATTTTTATGCCATACCTTACGAATAATTTCATTTCCATAGGTAATGTCGCAACGGGTATCTATTTTAATCCCATACGTGAATAACGTTTGTTCTTTAAAGTGCATATATACGAATTTCAATGCATGCGATTTAATTTGATATACGCATGAGAATGGTTTACATTTTTTTTTGGATGCAAACATACTCGACTCAATTTTATTTAATATCAATTCAATTACACACAGCAGCAAATGTATTTCACTTCTGGTATAGCTGGACAGTTCCAAATAAATGCCTTATGTGTTTAAATCTTTTATAGAAATTGCTATTTATTTTGATGCATGATAATTAAATTGGCAATGTTTAATATTCATCTCTGTCATCTTGTAGTGTTTTAGGATTCAAACGCTAAAATCCATATTAACATTTCTTACATTTGCATACATTTGGCTAACATTTTTTTGAGATGTTGAATTTGTTGGTAACAATTCAATTGTTATTTAAATATCTTCATATACGTTATAAATGTATAATAAATAGTAAAACGGCGCACCATAATAACCAATGTAATACGCGCTAGTCAATTAGAACGTACCTTTTTATTCCGTACAGTATCCGAATAGTACCGAAACCCTTCTCCGCGGTTTTCACGTATATTGGAATTGGGAAAGCAATGCGTTGACTTTTTTGCTTGTAAATCGTTGCTAAATGTATATGCGATTTGAAGTTTCAATTAAAATGTGCAAAGTAAATGAAATTTTATCCACCTCGACAAACTCACTAAAATGCAAAAATAAATATAAAGTCCTAACAAATTTTTGCCTACCCACGCTTCGGATAAGAAAAGTGTTAAAATAATTATCGTTCAGGGTTCCTTATGGATAAATTCCTAGGAAATCTAGGGTCGATAATTTCGGGGAGAAGACATGTTTCATAAAAGTTTGATAATTTACTTTTCATTTTACTTTCCCAAAACGTATTGTCCCGCGATATCTAAAATGGTCATGTAAATATAATTTTTTTTATTTTAAAATTACCATAATAATGATAAAGAAAAGAAGGTGAAGAAATAAAAATTCTAACCGAATGTGCTCGCAACTCGCATTGTCAGTGGTGGGAGTAAGCGGCGGAGTTAACATACACTAATTTGATATACTGCTAGAGGCAGCACCGTCTGTAGCAAAATTAAATTAAACCTTTTTTCATAAATTACAGATTTATTTACAAAAAAATGGAAATTTGTCATTTCATAAAACCCTATTATGTTTCATCGATAGTACGCGCTGAGATCTTCGATTTTTGATATGTCTATTATTTACAAAAATTTTTGCTTGTTTTTAAAACTATTCAATTTTTGAGATCTCAGCGCAAATAGTAACAGTTAACTGCACAAATGTGCAAAATTTCAAAAAAATCGGACTATAATTACGCCTGAAATTTATGAAAAACGAAATAGTCCATTCACAAACAGCCTTAACATTTTCGTCTTGCAAAACACCACTTTCCACCCCATTCAACCCCCGGGATTTCACCCGCGGAAAAATTCAGCTGTTTTAATAATTTTTTCCCAATTTCTATTCATTTCACCTGCCTGAAAAACACGGTTTCGCCCGTTAACTAATTTTTTTTTAAATAAATTATATAGAGCTATTTAGCCTGGACTACTAGGCAAAATACAAACCTCTTGTGCAATTATAAGTGAAAACATAATGTAACTACATTATCAGAAAAAATATGAAAGTCGATAAATCAATTATTGTGCAACATAAACTTCACTCGGCGGAATTTTTTTCAATTATTGGAAGTTCGTTAATTTGCTTCGGAACTGCTTCCACAGTAAAATGATATCCAACAAAAGGATTCATAAGATAGAGCAAATAAGCGAGATAAATACGTGGGTGATCTTTCTCTCGTCCATGGCAATATGGTCTGGGTACGAACAGAGTGGAGGCAGGTTTCTCGCTTACCGGTACCAGCGCCGACTCGCGCTTCTCGCGTTGGAAATCATAATAATGTTTTCAAATTAGCGTGCACGTAGTCAAGGCAGGTCGAGGCCGGTCGCCTGCGTCTCCGCTTTTGTCGGAATAAAAATTTAGTTTTTCCTGCCCATTCTCGCGCGAGTTTTGGTTAGAGAAGCTCTTATAAGCAATGTGGGGTCGGTGACATCCGGGCACCATTCCCGAGCGTGGTTTATTAACGTGATGATTGTTCAGTTTTTCCTGCAGAAGAAGATATGAATGTTATGTTACGTTATGTACCACCACTTTCTCGGCGCTCGCTTGTGAATCCGTTGGCCTACTTGTACTTCTAATAAATATACAATGGTTGAGTGATGCCGAACAAATCAGGATTGGCGCACTTCGCACATTGAAGCATATGGTACTTTGTATTTAGAAAAACTCACTGTATAATGGAAAAAATACTAACTATTTATTAATCTATTTTGGAGTGATTCCTGCTGGACATGGTTTATTACTCGACATTTCCTGAGAAGCTGTTCTACGTTCTACTGTATTTTCTTGTCGGTTGCTGTAGAACTAGAATGTTTAGTGACGTTTTCGGAATGTCAGGTTTTAAGATTGGCCACTCCTGATAAGCATAACCTCTCGTCCGGTGAAGCATTCTCGATAAAATAAGACGTAATTCAACCGCGATTAACTTTGCGTGTGGCGCAGTTTCTAGTTGGTGTACCTACATATACTGATATCGAAAAAATTCTTGATAGCGGTCTGTATGTCACCGCTAATGTTAGAAACACGTTAATGTGCACATTGACGAGTTAATATGCAGTTTAACGGTTCAGATCTGTTAGCAATCTGTAGATCACCTACCTAGTTAATCTGCACATTAACACAATCTAAATTGTTAAAGTGCGAAAAAGTATTGAAAAGAGCAATACAAACACGTAATCACGTATAATAAATGATTTCATTTCAGTAAGGTTCTAAAAATGTTTTTACTACATACCTAATTTAATATGTTTGTTTCAAAAATGTTGTAATTAGTTATCTTTTCACAATTTAAACAAGATTTGCTATTACTTGATTTTACTTAGTATAGGTACCAAATTAAAGGTAATTGCAATCAACTCTAATGTTATACAGTATGTAAAGCGATGGGGTATACAAGAGGGAATTTTTTTTAAATATTGATTTATGAAAAAAATTTATTCTTCATGATATTTTTTGCTTGCTTTGAAAGTACCAATAACGTTTCGATAATCTAAAATTTATTTATAGAAATCTGGAAAAATAATAAAATTAATTTTTTTTTAGTGAAAGTTACAGAGCAAGTCTCTGGAAAGTTATCATTCTACATTATAATCAAGATAGCGTATTGCTATCAAACCACAAACAGTCGAAACGTTATTGGTACTTTCAAAGCAAGCAAAAAATATCATGAAGAATACATTTTTTTTTCATAAATCAACATTTAAAAAAATTCCCTCTTGTATACCCCATCGCTTTACACACTGTATTTAAGCAAAGAACCATTTTTTTTCAGATTAACGCTTACTTGGTTGTTAATCTGTAGATTATCTTGTGCATCTGCAGAATAACTAGGTAATCTGCCAAGCACACGCATTTTTCGAACTTTAACGGATTTAACTAGATAATTTGCAGATTAACTAAAAAATCTGGACTTTAACGGTTTTCCGCACATCAACAAATACCTAACGGGCGATCAAAAATGAGTTGCTGTCGAGTCGCCTTTGGAAGCTCAAGTTAAGTACGATTTTCCATGTAAACAAAAATTCCAGACAGAAACACATTTTTGATCGCATAGTATAAGCATTAACACTGAGTGCCTATATTATTATCCTCAGGTTCATTTCAACTCTTTTTGCTCGCATGCGAAAAACGAAAATAAATGGATCATTCCTCGAAATAAAGTTGTTTCTAAACGTTTCAGATGTGGATTAATTACGCGTTAAATTTGAAAGGGTGCGTGCAAAAGGAAAGCTGTTACGAAAGTTTATGAGCTGCTCATGATACCCCCATTACTCTCATGTATACGAATAATAAATAAAAGATGTCTAATCAAATAATTGTAAGGGCGGATGCAATTTTAACCTAATAATGGTCCCTTGAAATATTCTTCGGATCTGTAATTATTCGGACGGGTAGGTATATCCACAACTTTAATGTTCTCCCCAAAGAAACGCCCTTCAACCCTATCGCATTAAACGTCTGTTCAATAAAGTTTTGTTCTATGAAATTCAAATGCAAATGAACTTTTAGCAATAAAAACAAGTTTAGAATTGAAGCAGTAAATTGTCGTCACTGTCTTAAATTTGCGACACACTGCTTTTGACAGTTTCACAGTGTTTATTGGTGGACATACCTTTTCGTTTAGCCAAAACGGATTACCTACGCTGCTATTATCGTGGGTTCAGTTATTACGTACCTAAACCTCTTTTCAGAACAATTTGTTTTCGACGTTTCTAAAGCGCATATTCGGAGTTTTAAATTAGATTAGAAGGGAAACGTATTTCATTTTTTTTTGTTGGTTAAAACGAGGAGAACACCATAGTAATAGCTGAGCGATTTGTTAAAGAAGATGTCACAGTCTTGACAAAAACTTGGCCGTTATTCGTTCCTGCTGAGCATCCCAAATGTCTGATCTGTGCTGATATTTAGTTTTTATAAATACTTAGGATGCATCAATGCGACAAAGCTCACGCAAACCATCACGTGAAACATAATTATATTTTAATAATGTACAATACATTAATATTATAAATTATAATATC